CCCAACCCCAACCCCAAACCCCAAACCCAAACCCCAAACCCAACCCCAAACCCCAAACCCCAAACCCAAACCCAAAGTTCCCGTTTTGAAGGAAGATTCGCCCCGGCCCCAACCACACTATTACTAGGGTTTCTCTCTCTTTTAGGCCAAACCCTAATCGTTATAAAGATAACCCTTCAACTATTTAATATATTGTTCTTCCAGAAAGTAGGATTTCTTTTCACTATTCTTAGCTCTCACTTATACCACCATTCTAAAAATTTCCTAAAATACCAATTAAAAAGCTCAAGGAGCTTTAGTCTTGAAAGGAGAGGCTTTAGATTATAAAGGAGCTTTAAAGTCAATTAAGTTTGCTTTTCTATAGTTTGTAAGTCGTTAAAACCTTAGTAATGATAATAAGTTTATTTTGTGGGATGTTAAAAAAGTAAAATAAAGTCAATAATCAGATGAAATGGGAGGGTAAAATCAATATGCTTCTCAGATAACATACTACATTATCTGTGGAGTCTTAAATCAAGAAAATAAATAATAAGATAAGATAAATTCATTTCATTATGTTTCTCTCCTGATGGTACTACATTAGCATCCAGTAGTGATGATAACTCTATTCGTTTAAGATCTGGATAACTGATCTTATCATAGGTTCATCATTATAGATGTTCTTTAGTGTAAAATAAACCTTCAACAATACACAATAATTTTTTCCAAAAAGTTGTATTTATTTTCACTTTTCTTTCGCTACCTTCTGAAATTTCCTAGAACACCAGCCCAGAAGCCTCAATTTTGAAAGAAAATTTGAAATTATAAAAGCATAGATCTAAAACCGCCATTAAAATCTAAAGGATGTTGCATTTTTAGAATTTTAGAAAGTTAAATTGCATTAAAGATAACAAAAACAATAAAATTGATTTTACCACCAGAAGCACCACATATAATTTCAATTTCAAAAGTAAAATGTTGGATGGAGTAATAAGATATGAAATAATGAAGACCATTTCTAAAAACCTCAAATCTACATAAAAGTGTAATTTAATTTAAGCAAAAAGAATTTAGAATTAGTGTCTTTAAGCTAGATTTATTCTCATATTTATACATACTTTAACTAATTATATTTATTGATTAAAAGGTTAATGAAAATAAAATATAGTAAATCATGCAGCATAAAAATTTTGACCTCATAACTTAAATTATTAGAAAATGAAATAATATTTAATAATAAATCAATAACATTTCTGTTCTTTAGAATTTTTAAATTTCAAACTTCCTTTATATTTAAATAATAACCCTTTATATCCAAAATTGGATTTTGACGGGATTATATGTTCATAATAACTAAAGAATGATATACATAAATACCATTTTATAATTTGGATTGTTTTGCGAAATAGTAAATAAATATTTAAATTTGAAGATGCTCATCAACCAAATTTATTGTAAAAATTCATTATAGAGATGTTCTAATATTTCAAAATTTTTTAAACATATACAAAAGTAATTTCAGACTTACAAAGAAGCTATTTCTATTAATCCTAAATATGATTGTGCATTGTTGGGTAAGAGTAATTATTTGTAAAATTAGGATAATTAGGAATTGTATTATCAATTTTATTTTTATTCTTTATATGAAACAATATCAAGAAACAGCGTAATTAATTATTAGAAATTTATATTAAGGTTATATTCTATAAAATAACTAAAAGCATAGCTATTTATATTTTTAACAAAAGATAATTATACAAGGAGTAACAAATATATTATTTAATTGTATAATCATTTGATAAAAGGGTCTTTTATTATTTCACTTCTCACGTTTTGGCCTCTCTCTTATTTAGAATACATTGTTAGTTTGCCTGGGTTAAGTTATCACATATAACAATAAACATGTAAATGTACTAAGTAGGAAGTATATAAAACATCTGACACCAATACTGATGTGTTGTAGGTGTGTGCTTACAAAAGTCTGCAGATTTTATGACAATTTTACACTATTAAATATAACCATATTACAATCAGAAAATTAGTTGCTGCATTTCTAAATTTGACAAAAAGCAAAAGAATATAACTTATGATTTATGCACACTAATTTTTGGTTATAGAACAAGTCTCTAGAATCTATTGATTAAACATCAAGACATTATGAACTTTTAGTTTGATTGTTCCCACATTACGTAGAAGGAGGCTGAGACTGAACTACAAGGTTGCATTGCCCCAGAATTATAATAGATTTGGGCTTTGTATCATTTAGATATTAATTTTGTTTGTTACATTCTTTTGACTATATAGAAATACATTAAAGGTTGTGCATCTTAAGAATGGGAAGGTACATATAGGGCATCAAATAAATAAATTAGATTAAGTTAGCTCCAACAAAAATCACACGTATCCTGCATAATAGCATAAATACTTGAACATTCACTTCAAGGGAATATGATGAAGATGTAAACAAAATCAACAAGAAAAGAACAGCATTACGAATGAATACATTACTAACACTCAATATGCACTGCGTCAATCTGTATTGGGGTTTGATGTAAATCATCTCATTTATTTAGCAATGAAGTATTACCCAAAATTAGTAGGTTATAGTTCTCCTAAGAAAGTAGAAGATTCTTCAAATCTATCAAACAACAAAGGTAGTTAGTGAATCGTTTGCAAGGAATGCTCACAGTTGTACACATATGGCAAGGAAGGGTGACAGTTGTGTGAACCCGTCAACAAAATAGATCTACCAGAAATTTTATATAAAAGCATAAGAAGTCAAAGCATTGCAAAAGGATATCTATAGCTGTTGTCATTTCAATGGTGATTTAGCATGTTTTAAAAGTTTAGATCTTTTTAATGGATCAAAATTTAATGATCAGTTTCTTCCTAGTAATTACAAAATCGGCCTTATGTTTTAACTCTGCAAATTAATCTTTTTTCTTTCTTTTGTAGGTGTGATGGTGCAGATTCTCTGTTTAATATTCGGGTATAAATAAATATGGCAAATGCAAGTTCATTTTTTTGAAGATGAAATTGGAATAGATACGTTAAATAATATGGACTTTAGTCTCTTTATTAAGAGTTTGTGGTCTATAATAGATACTTGGTTTTGATGGTTGTCAAAGAATGAAGGCAAGTGATAATCTCACAATATATTTGAAAAGAGAAAGGTAAATGTTTCATCTTTTAGAATTAAATCCTAAAGAAGAAATAACAGAACTTAGATATGTAAAAATATCAAGAAGTTTTAAAAAATTAATTTCGATACAGCAGCCAAATACAGATAAGCGAAGATTAATGTTCTGCATTAAATACAAATATAGAGGAAAATAATCTTTCATATTTAATGCAATGCGATTCCTTAAAGATAATAACTAATATTTTGATGGTGAAGTATTGCATATCGCTATTGTAATACATAAGATGCTTAAGATTAATTAATTGAAAATTATGTGTATGAAGAACTCAAAGAAAGGAACAACATTTATCACCTCAAGAATCTCAACATCTGCTTATTCATAAATCACCAGTAGAGCCAATAATATTAACAACTATTGTGAGCTTTATATAATTTTTTTTTGTCCCTTATTGTAATATAGAATGGGCTATTGATAACAAATTTTAAAATAAAACAAAAATAATAAATAAATATCTGTAAGATGATTAAATTTTGGAACCCTTTTTTTTTGTGTTTCATAGTCCATCAAATGCAATCATTCAAATTAACCAGAACTATTAAGACAAGTAGCACAATAGTAATACTAAACAGTAAATATTAAGTCTCTTATATGCATAACGATATTGCTTGAGCAAATTTATACTTACTTCTCAAGTGAATTAGTTTGAATACTGCTTACAAAACATGCTGAGAAAATAGTGCTCAAATTAGTCAACAAATAATACAAGATATTAGTTTCTCAATTCTTGTGATTAAGATTCAAGTGTGTGCTACCAAATCTGATACATATATATTATGAGATCACACATAACAAACACTAGAATATTATGTAATCTATAGATAACGGGGAAATCATATTGTAATGTTTTCAAGCTCCTTTTGATTCTACGACATAATTATTATATTATGCCTTTTCACTAATAAGACCTTGAGATCCTTGCAATACATATGGAATACTGTGACTAATGTATAATTGTTGATACATACTTCACAAGGAGTTTAGCAATCCTAAATGATCAGGTTAACCTTGAGTTATTATGCAATTCACTCTTTGCAATAGTTCATTGCTGGCCCTTGTATAATTTGAACTCTGATCATACTTAATGTACATTATGCATTAAAGTACTTCTTTACATTTAATGCGCTGACTAGATAAATGCTGTCTTACAGGCAAGAACAAAATGAACTCATGCGTCAGGAAAAGGACAGATATTTCATTTGTAGTTGCTTAAAATATTTTGTAGCAACTTAAAAATAAGTGCTCAAATTTAGAACTCATATACTCATTTACAAGCAGAATACAACAGAACTCTTGCCCATTATTTCCAAACATTGTACAAGAGTAATAATGGTTTCAGTTAAGCTATTATATTCGCATTAAATCTTAAACAAAGGAGGTAAAAGAAGTGCTATACTATATATATTTATAAATAGTTTCCTGCCCCAGAGGATTCAAGTTGATTCTCAAAGTACTCCATCATATCCAGATATGCACAATAGGTACTGACAGCATTTCTGGTACACTCTCTTAAATGTATCATGAAAGCTGACAGCTCAGCGCTTCTTGTTACTTGTGAGTCAGTGTTACAATGTCTCAAGTTCAACATTTATAGTAATTATGTAGTAAAATAAAAGTCTCTCTTATTTGTGATTCTGCTCTGTGTTAAAGTTATTTTGAATAATATCTAAGAAATTAATCTAAAAAAAAGTTTAGAAATCTTTAGACTTTGTTTTAAAGTTACTTTAATTACTGTGTACTTTGAAAAATGTGTAATGAGGCTGTGCTATAAAATACCACTCAAAACGTTCTTTCTAAAAACATTTATCAATAGCCGTATTTAATTTATATAATTGAGTCAAAAGGATGGATCTTGACTAAACTGTAATAACTTATTTTAGTGGTTTAAAATATTTTGCAATATTATGAGTTTTAAATTCCCTTCCCTATACCAGAAGAGTCAATTCTCAAATTAAATTCCGAAGAATTCACAAGATTGTCTGTGCTATTACATTACAAGTTCCTGCAAATTAAATCTAACTTCAAGTTGTAAAGCAGTTATAACAAATATTGGATAAATAAATATTTCCAAACAACTAATATATTTACATAAATCTTTACCTATTGACTTTAATCAAATCTTAACACTTACATAATAGTAATTATAAATAATTACAATATTTATGAGTGTCTAGGAATTTATAACAAATAAGATGCTGTGTGTCTAATTGAGATTTTCAATTAAAAAATTCATATTATTTCAGTGGCTACTGCTAAGAGTTCTACATTAAATAATTAACTTACTGGTAGTATATTGGAATTTTTAAGTATAGTTTGAGATAAAGAAATTGAAACTAGACCTTCATCTGCAGCGAAATTCATAACCCGACATAAATAGACTTTTTTCATCTGGAACAAAATATAGTTTAAAGGTCGAAACATTGAGTATAAGAAGTGTTAAATATGGAGTCTAAAAGTGTACCTTTGTAGGGTGAGCATATAATTATGAGTCGAAATTACTTTTAAAGTAGAAAAAGTCTTTATAAAATGTATCATATATATTGTTGGTAGGTACTACAGGTATCAAATTTTATAGCAGAAGTAGAAAAACTAATAAATACTCATGTTATACATTTGCTGGGAGTAGCCACTTGGTTATAAATGTAGAGGCACCTTACATTTTTCAAGGCAAATTAATTTGCCTGAATTCATCATTATTTTATTATCTAATGCAGGAATGCACGAAGTAGAACAGAATATATAAATATGGCACAACCATCGAACAATTAAAATCTTTATAACTGCTATGAACACACTTTTTTCATATTTTCTACGTAATTCATGAAGTCAAATACTTTATACAGAAATTGAATACACACTTTACAGTAAATGTAAATATAATAAATAACTCCATATTTTTGAAGAATATATATTGGAGAAAACTATAACAAGTTGGAGTTATAATTAACAAATTATGTAATAAGGGAATATTGACCTTATCGTGAAAAGTGCATTAAGTACATGTGAGAGGAGTGATTATGCTTCAAAAAAAAGCTACGAATCATTGCATCACACTTGAGAAGAGTTTGTCACAACACTACTATGAAGTGAATATTAAGTAAAAGCAGTAAGATTTTTTTATGACAATATACATCAGTAGATTGGCATTCACAAAAGCAAGTGTCAGAGTCAGTGCTTTTAGAGCCTGACAAACCTTGTATTAACATTACAAATTTACAAGATTTTCACAAGATATACTTATTATGATAACATTATAGAATTACACAAATAGCAATTTGCCCTGAAAGCTGACTGAAAGTGACATACATAGATTATGAAGGGCCAAGCTTGAAGGAATAAGCATTTTTTGCTATTGAAATTTTAAGGAGAAAATACATTATTTTTTTTTTGTAATAAATCAATACCGCATTGAAGCTTGAATCTCCTAAACAACAGCGTGTGATATACTACTACCACTAATATCTGTTTTATTTTTGTAACAAGATAAACAAGGACCTTATGAAATCCATACTACATGTAAGAAGTTTGGGTAACTATATCAGTTGGGCAAAAAAGAAATGCAAAAACATACGCAATGCTACAATTGGCATAAAATAGTTATGTGAATGAAGAATAAAACACATAGTAATTTATAATACAACATAAACAAGAGCAATCAATTTAAGGTGAAATAAGTACCATCTTGTTATGTTGTAAAATAGTCATTGTTCTTTAAATACACCATCACCTTAAATAGAATAAACTGTTACAAAAAATACAAGTACAGAAATAGTGCAAAAGGAGTAAATTTTCATGCTTTGCACATATAATCATTTAATAGATGATTGATTTTTGTTGTAATAAGTTGTCAACAGTTTGCAGATTCAATTAGAAGCATCATTAAGATAAAAAATATTGTGCCAACAAGCTTTACAAGTATTTTTTTGATTATTCTACTTTGCAATGTTGAAAATATTTAGGTATCCATATGTGGATGAATGATATATCCTTTGATGAAATCCACTTGATAAGATGAAATCTAAAAAATTGATTGTTTAGTACTACTTTACAAGAGCTATCAAACAAATTTGATATATTTTGCCTTCCAAACATTTGAGCACACAACCACCTAAAGACTTGAGGGAGTATCAAACTGCATAACCTGAAAATTATTTGATTATCTCACATGATATATGATGAGACTCAAAAGTAGGACTGGAACTCATCTTAATTGTTAGCACTAAAAATATAATAAATGCTTATTTTACAGGAAGTTTACCCAATAGTATTAGTCTTACTGGTGATACACAATCAAAGTGCATAGTTGTGACATGGGCATTTGCAGCAGTTGAATACTAAGTCCATTCAGCTAATTTAGGATGTGGCTAATTGTTGAAAAGAAATATTCAGAAATGTGAAATTGAGAGTTGCTCCTTCGATTTACATAGTTCTAATATTTTAACACATGGTATAGCATTTGGAGTTGAGTTTCAAAAAAATAATTAATTCCATTACGTTCTTTAACTGTGATAACATAAACTATCCAGAAATTATGACAGAGTCACAAAAGCTAACCAAATAATATTATCTTTTTTAAGATTAACAGTATGATTACACAAGTTACAAATGTACTTGAGGTAAGGGTGTAGTAGCCTAACAATTTAGAAAAGATCAAGTAGCATATTCTGTATCAAAAACTAATGAATTTCTGAAAAAGCTCCTAATATATACTTTATGCACAATTACTTCAATCTATATAGTTGCTTAGTAATTATGATTTACTATTGTTCATTTATGAAATAACTCCTAGTATCAATTTGGAGAATAATAAAATGAACTTGTCTAAAAAGCTATTATGAGTATAATAATAAGTACGATCTTGAAAAGGCACTCATTTTTGCAGAGACCTGATAAATCATGTTTAATCAGCATTGGATACCAAAATCTAGATTGCATAAAAAATTTCCTGTTCTATATTTTATATTAAATACTAGCATCTCAATTAAAACCTATACTGCATTTTGCGCCTTAAGAAGCAGTGCAAGTATCACAATTTTCATCAAAAAAGCCATGCATCAATCAAGATTGACAAGCTTTAGAATATATTCTTTAAAAGACACCCCCCTGCCAAACTAAGTGCACATAACACATGGGGCTCGTTGACGGGAGACATCATGAAATACTTCCTTGTTTAAACTCAGTATTTTTTTTCATCAAAATTTCTATTTCTGTAAGTTCTAATCAGAAAATAGAATATGACTATATATATTAAGACTAAACCAACATTATTATTCCATAAACTGAGGTTTTACTTAAGCAGCACATAAAGCCAAACTTGAAGTACAATCAAAAGAATTAAGGGAGGAATCATAGAAATATTTAAGAGTATGGTAGATGCAGCAACCAGTATTTATAGGATATGTATGGAGATCTATACATCACCTATTGTTGCCAGTCTAATACTTTCCAGAAATACACTCTTGTAGAAGTTTAGACATTCCAGACACTATTCTAGTTGAAGATGGGAAAGCATCTGAATTAAATGCCTGATGGAGTAAATAAAAGGAGATCAACCTCAAGAGGTAGGTGATATTATATATTAATTAAATGTTGGAAAGTAGTAACTTCATTATGTTTCTATATACCTGAAAATGCCATAGTATTTTGCTTCTGCTTAATTAACTTTTCAGAGATATTCACAAAAGTAATTTACAGCACGAAAATTAGAGTAATTTGTAATAGTGTTTTAATTTTATTTTGGAGAATTTGGTAAAACAATTTCATTATTAGCTCGTCTCGAATATAACCTATTCTAAATTAATTGAATTTTTTTAAGTTTATGATTACATAGTTTAAACATTTTCTAGAATATAGGTAAGTTTAAGTAGTACGTTTTAATTGCAGATACCTAACAAATGTTGATACTTTATTATTTTAAGTGAGTCGCGAAATGATTCTTTCTATTGGTTCATTATGCTATGGAAAAATCATGTACTTAATGATGCCTCCTATGTTTAGAATTTGATAATGAATTCAAAGTATTTTAAATACAAAAGAAAAAATTAAGAAATATCAAAAAGTTGGCAATATTAATATTTTATTCAATTGTTTTATAAATAGATGGGACTTGTAAGTATATTTTGATTTCAAATAATAAATCCTAAAATAGATCAAAGCTCCTCTATTAATTTTGATTTGTTATTCAGAATTTTGATAAAAATTTCATATTTGATATTTGAAAAATTATTATTTGAACAAGGGTTACTTTAATATCAACAGCTAAACTTGAAAAGTTAATTGTTTTAACATATTCTCTTTCCATTTCCTATAAAAGTGGATGTAGCACTATCCTATTACTTAATCCATTTTCATTTTATCTTCATGAAATTTAAAACATAGAGAATCGATTTTAGGACAACTTTACAAGAAAATTTCATATCTTGTGGATTTTTTAAATTATTTCCATAAATAGAAATTTACCTAGAGTTTGCCTAATTGGACTTTAATTCTCAGTTTGATTAGTCCTATCACGCTTCGAATTTATTGTAAATTCAAAAAAATGTTCAATTCTATAAAAGAAAAAATTAAAAGAACAAAAGAATAAAAGAGTAATACTACTAAATGAATTTTCATAGAGACACTCTTAAATTTGAATAATTATATTGATATTATTATTTAAAATCATTGATAGATAATCTTCGACAATTTATTCTTAATAAATAAAATATAAAGAATAATAATGAATAACAGTAATGAAAAAACAAATATAATATGGTTTATTTCCTCTTTTAATAAGCTTTCGGTTTACTTTTCAATATGGAATCGATAAAGCTTAATAAATTTCATAATATAGCATCTGTTCGATAAGCGAATCTTTATCGAATATTTTGTTAGATGAAATCAAACTGATATTAAATAATATCAACTCTTACAATATGAATAATACATTGATATTGATGCCAGATAATAAATAGAATATGATTTATATCAATAAGGCAAATTAAGGTTTCATTAATTTCAAACTAAAATACGATTATTTATTAAAAAATCTTAAATGGATAATTTCATAAAGTTTAGGGATTATTTTCAAAAAATATCTGTATATAACAGGGTTATGAAAAAAGTATTATTTTGAAATCAAATAAAGTTCGAAGTAGAATGGAAGATCAATTTAATAAGGGTAAATAATAAAAATAGGCCAATATAATTAAATTCAGATCATTATTTCTGAATAAAGAATAGATGCTGCCGACTTTGCCTTTAATTGGTTAATACTTGTGAAATTTAACATTCTGTTTCTTAAATATCAACTATTAACTCTTAATAAGCTACTATAGTAGGTATAAGGGAAAAAGAAATTATCACTTCTTAGTAAGAGCCCGAGCAGCTGTGGAGTATAGGATTTGTAATACTATTTTCATTAGAATTTTAGAAGATTAGGTTTATTTTCACAGTTTCTTGATCAGTACATTTCACATGAAGATTTAAAATTGGCTATTTATCTGCTTCATCGATAATTATTCTTGTTTCCCCTGAATCTTTTGCTATTTAATTGTCTCCATCAATTAAGACTTTGAAGGATTGGATATAATCAACTTTGCTATCAAATAACTACTTAATTAAAACTGAACCAATCTCAAGAGGTGTCGCTTAGGTGATATGCTCATATTTCATCCAACATGGTATATAATAGAAAGTTTGAATACAGCAACAACTTTAATAACTTTCAAAATTTCCACCGCTAAATTCATATGCCAGACTATTAACAGATAAAACATATTCTTTTTTGAATTTCAAAGCATTTATTCCATCGTGTTAAAATCCTTAAAATGGCAAAAGGAACCATGACCATTAGATTAATGGAAATGAATTACTAATAGAAAGGGAACTTATTTTCTTCTCATATATCTAAAAAATATCATTTATTCCTAAAATTATTTGGTAACTCAGAGAAGTAAGATTTGATAGAGAATTTTATTGATCTGATATTATAATTGTTAGACTCTTAGCGTTTATCTCAGAGACCTGAAAGTTTAATAATTAATTTACTTTAACTTCAAAATTTACAGACCCTGTAAAAGAAAAAGCAATGACATTTATTAAATATTTTAAGGCGTTTGGATTTGAATGATCTATAGTTATTTGCTGAAAATTTTTTATATTAAAATTATTAATAACTTAGATTCTTGCATCATCAATTGAAAGCCACTTATAGTGAATTCCATAAACTACTCCATCAAAGCATTTTATGCTGAGAGTAAATTCTAAATTATATATACAATTTAACTAGTTAAAGTTATTTGTGTTATTTCCAAACTGTAGTCAACCTTAGTTCCAGGGATATCAAATAATTCTGGAATCAGAATAACTTAAGGGATATTTTCAAATGAGTCTCTAAATTTAATATCTTATGTTTTTCCCCTGTTACCAAAACAGAGGAATCCTTTGTTGACAATTTGAAACGCTCTAAATGTGCCTTCATCATATGTAATGAAACCTTAAGCAATTAAGAAAAAAGTAATAAATATCATTTATTTTAATAATTCTTTAAGTTAAAAAATTTATCAGTTTGATTTCTATTATTATAATTTATAATTTTAAGAGAAATTTAGAATAAAAAAAAATTAAATAATCTTAGAATTAATATTGCTATTTCCCTTATGATTTTTCATATCTTATTGATGTGTATTATACAAGAAAAATTATGTTAAAGCCTTTATTTATATAAACATTAAAAAGATTATGTACCTTTTCAATCTTTTGAATCTATCCAAATATCTTGATATAAAGAAATCAAATGCTCTGGGTTCTATATTAATTATTTACTTGGATCACCTAACAAAATACACTAAGATTATCAATAGTATAAAATAATCTTATTTCTGGCTTTATTTAATCAAATTTACTGTTTAGATAAGTTAGGAAACTACAATAGAATTTTTGGAGATAATTTTTAGAGGAGATGTTCTTATTTTTTAACGGAAAAGGTTATCAAAATAAAATTTTGTTGTTTTAAGTATAAATACACAGTTTACAAAATCTCATACTCCATTCTTTGACATTGTAAGTAATAATTTCTTCTTAGCACAATCTATTATAAATATTACCTTGTGCTTTTAAAAAAGTTACTTCAATTGATTTTAACAAATACTCGATCTTACCTTGAATAATTCTCATTATAAAAATAACTAATTTATAGAAAAGAATTGACAATTTATTACTAGGGTATTTACACATTTTTGAGATAGTTGTATCCATTCAATGTATTTTGCATTAATCCTATTCTTGCATTGTATTGTTTTTCTGAATCAAACAAACTAAACTTTGTAAGATACCTTGAAATTAAGGAAATCTTTATTATTTATGAGGATGAGGAACCGAATCAACTTTTGACGCGATATACTATATTGACATTTAATTTATCATAAAAAATATTAAAGAATTTATGTCTGAAAAACCAAATCAATAAAATCCTAAAAAGGGAGAGCCTTGGAAGCCAAAAGAAAAATTTGATAAGAAGGCTAATAAAGAGAAGTAGAAGCAAGAATAAGAATAAGGTGAAGGAAAATAGGAAACTAATTAGCCACCATAATAATAAAATAAATAGCCCATCCAATAATAGACAGCTGATTAATAGCCGACTTAATAATAGGTGCCCACGAATGATAAATAAATTGCTTAAACTAATGCTTCAAAAGAGTAAGATAAGCGAAAAGATTTTCTTTCACATCTACCGATATTTTAGGATTATACTTCTGTAAGTATCAAGACTGTCAAATAAATTGATGTAAATAAATTCTTAGAATATAGCCTTTAACTTTGCATCATGCTTTTATTGAGCTTTGTATTTAATATCAAAATGGATAGTGTATAGGGTCCACCCATCGATGTGTTGAGTTTCTTAATGCCTTAAAACAATTTATAAGGGATTATAAGCTATCAAGACAATCAAATTATTTTGCAATGGCCTTTTTGGATGAATTAAAGAAAATTTTTAATTTGATGAAAAACTTTAGAACAGTGAATGAAGGAATGAGCACATCATATTTATTTATAAGAGAGTGTTTGATGATCTTGAGAGACACAAAACTTGATGAAAACGAATCAAAAATATGGCTATGCAATCAAATTGATTAATTCATTCAATCAAAAATAATCGCAGCATCAGAATTAATTGTTAAAAATGTATTGATATAAAAATTCATATTTTACAGGCTACTTAATTGATATAGGAAGGAACTACAATTCTGGTGTATGCAAGATCTTATTTGATTGAGAATTTCATAATAAACTACTTCAAGTAAGGAAAGCAATTGACCATTTTTGTAGTCGATAATCCTCAATTTGGAGAAGGATCTCAATTAGTGAATCGTTTGTAATAATAGGGAATTCCCTGTTATCAAATATTGTTATCTCATGTCAGTTATATTCTGTCAAAAGTAGCAAACGATGAATATTGTTTAGGTTGACAAAATTCTAGTAGGGGCATCATCTATGTTATGTAACGGAGCTTTGGTTTCTAGAGTCGGAACTGCTTTATTGGCATGTCTAGCATCAACCCACAAAATACCATTTTTAGTATTTTGTGAAAGTTATAAATTCTCAGAGAAAAGTCAGATTGATTCTTTATCTTGGAATGAGATAGCATAATTAGAACAGGGCAACGAAAATCAATAATACACTTCTTTAAGTCTCAGATATGATATAACTTAATCCAATTACATCAATATGGTATGAGTCATAGGTGATTTATTAGATAGTGACTGAAGTTGGATTGATACCGGCAACATCTGTAAAAGCAGTAATTGGGGAATTCAAAAAGTATAATTACGTAGATGCTATTGAAGTTCCAAGAAAAGAACAATGATAATGATAATGTTTAATAGGTAGACATCATATATATATATAAATTTCATATTATGCTACATCTGCCCATTAATTTTATAAATTTATATATGTTGTAAATAAAGGTCTCAGCCTTGCCATAAAACCCACACTTAATCAGCTAAATTGAACAATTCTTAGTTGACTCCAACACTTTGATTAGAAATGTAAGTTCTCTCTTATTTAGGGATATTATCGGAAATGCATAATGCATTTGGATGGCCAATATAAAAAACTGCTACCAATCGAATCACCGTTACTTTTGAGGATAAAGGTCTTGAGGAGATTGTGTTATTGCACGTTAATGTATTTCAAGTTGAAAATCAACAAAAACGAAGTTAATTAAGGCAAAAATTCATTCATTCTTTGGTCTCGATTTTAATTATATCTGAGAGATTTTCATGATAGTATTTCTCTCTTGAAGATCTAGTTTAAGAGTAAGTGATAGTAAAATTCCTAATTAGAAAAGTTTTATACTCAAGAACTGATATCTTTAATGATAAAGGCTATACTGTTCAGATCTCAATATTATTAAAAAAATCAAATGGTAGCCAGGGGTCTATTATATTTGCATCATTTGAGTGGAACAATAATTGAATAGGCTTTGATAGATAAGATAAGGTTTTTCTTCAGTTTATAAGGGTAAGAAAGTGTTCATACTATTAGAAAATATAATTTAATTACTGGAAACAGCTACTTTCAATTGTAAAACTTTTAGACCGCTTTGAAATATTATCTTAAAGGACTCGATTTATATCAAAGGAACTTGATAATCATCTATAAGGAAATCAATCTAACATCTTTGGAAGAGATAAAGATGACTCTTAATTATTATGTAATGATTATTAATAATGATGTAAATAGACTAAAGAAATAATATTGTCTTTGTTCTTAATAGCTTTAGTGTATGAATAACTGAATGACTTTTTAAAATACCAAGAAACCATAAAAATGATGAATTGGGTAGATTCAAATTATTAGCCAGAAAACTCAATTGGAAAATTATATTTCTAATAATATGTTGATAATTCAAAGTACATTGAGTATGCTCTTGAAAAAGCTGAAATCTTTAAAGTGTTGAAGCAAGCCCTGCCTGAAGAAGAGACTTCTTAAGTTCCTGGAGAAGAAGATCAATTAAACTATTACACGAACATGCTTTATGAATTTAGTGAATTTTCAAAAATCAGAAGGCAATATTATTATTATGATAAATCATAACTACCTTACACCTCTGAAATAACAGAGAGTGATACATAATTAGAGAAATCAAGAGCACTAAAAACTAACGCTAGTGTTTAGATGGTTTATAAATTATAACCAACTGAAAATGAATCAACAGCATTGTGCAGGTCAGCACTATTGAAAACTAAGAATTCAGACAATGGATTATCAACTAGATTTTAAACAGAAACAGAAGGGTTATCATAGACTATGATTCATGTTTAAAAGTAGAAGAAATATGAAATGTAACTAAATAAAGAAGATGTCACATTGCAAGTTTATTATGGTAAGGCAATTGAGAAGTCAGTTAAATTGCAAGAATTGGAAAGTCTAGCTGAATAACATAATCAGGATTTAGTGTAATAACAAGTTGACACATTATCTTTTGATAAAAAACTGAAGTAATCAAAATAACAGATTTGTAAACATTTTCAGCATTATTTTAGAATTTAAGAAAATATTTGGATGTATTGATTTGAGGAAAGATCCCTTTGAATTTGAAACTAGAGAATCAAGGAAGAGACAGAAAAAGTAATAAGCCAAAAATATCAATCAATTACAATCATTATTAAGCATACAAATTTAGATTAAAACAAAGACTGAATAATCTTAACTGTTAGAGCAATATAATAAATAGAGAAAGGGAAATTTTTCATCGGCACCTAATATATTTTAGCAAATGCATAACAAACATAGACTAAATAAAGATGTTAGAGTAGAAGAGAATTCAGCAATTGCTAATAAGGAAATTTGTAAAGAAATGAGCAGTCATCATAAGACTCAAGATGAAGAACAATTAATTAGGGAGATAAATATAAATACAAAAGAAACAATTAAAAAAATGATGGATGAGAAGGAAAGTTTAATATCTTCAAAGCCTTATTCAGCTAGAAGATCATCTTAAAACAATACTATTAGGTATTTATTATAATTAACAACATAGAAATAACTTTTTGTCAGAGAAACTCATATAAAAAAATGATAGTTTGGCACATACTACTGATTAAATTAGTAATTCCAAAAAACTTAATTCTTTGAAATCTTTACTAGAGGTACCAAGAAATAACCCAAATCAAAAAAGAATGACTACAATTTTATCATCAATAACTCCTAGACCTACTAGTAAAATGAGTTCACATACAATTTTACCTATTTGTTGATTATAAAAATAATATTAATTAAAATTTAAAATGAATTAAGGCGGATCAAACGAATTATTGACATTGAAAAGAGAGAAGTTTAGAGTCTAAATTAGACACTAAAAACTAACAGAGGAGTTTAAGAAAAAAAGAAGGTTTTATAATTATGAATAGACGAAAAATGATTTTCTACATAAGGTTTGTGATGAACTTGCTAAATACCAGTTTAAAGAGTAGTTAGTTGAAGAAGATCTTAATAATATTAAGTTATTACTGAAAGTACTCTAGAAAGCCTTAGAGGATGAATAAAATATTGATTATTGGGTGACTGAAAATATAGTAAAAAAATTTAGGTATAATGTCAAATAATCTAGATTTCTAATTAATCTCTCTAAAGTGGATAGTGAATTTCAAGAAATCAATGCAACTCTCATTCAAAGTGTTTTCTACTACCTAAACAGAGAAGATTATTAAAGATTTGCAGAATTAGACGACATTCAACTATTGGATTACCTTAAGAACAATATTAAAGAAGAGATACTAGAAATCTTTCCTTAAGTAACTTTTCCAATTATATTAGACTCTAAATTGCATCTATTTTCTCGCCTAAGAAAAATAGACTTATAGAGATTTTATCATCCAAAATGATTTTGAATTTTTAGCATAACTAATGGTCCTTGACCCTTTTAGATAATTTTCTGAAGTTATCTTGGCCTTGATAGGTTCAGCATTTACATTCTGTTTGGATATCAATATTGAAAACATTAAATCGATTAAAGAATATGTGATCAAGTCCTATTTTGATGAAAATTAAGCCATAAGAAGACTAGCCTTAGAAATTTTGGAGGAAATTCCCTCAAAATTATCATTCGAGAACAATTATTCATTTGCAGATGAAATCATTTCTTCCCCTATGTTCTTAAAGATATATGATGCTGCTTTAAAAACTAATTATGACTTTTTAGCTTTAAAAGTAGTTATTATTTATTTTGGGATAAGTGATAAATTTTTTGATAAAGAACTTACCATCTACAAGAAGGTAGTAAATTCAAATCTGCAATCGTAAGACCTCAACAAAGCATTAAGAATCTAATTATTTTGGGCTATTTCCAATAAAATCCATAATAATGAATTTTTGGTTAAATTATTAGACTCTAAGTTATTGGAGGAAATATTTGAACAGTGTTTTGAATTGTCAGACAATGAGGCTCTTGAATTCTCTTATGTTATTTTGAATCTATCCATTTTAGTATAAAATGTTAATATTTTAGTGTAATGAAGAATAACTATCAAAATTAATTAAAATAGGATTGTTTAACATATGCAATCATTTTTTTTCAATGGAAGCACGATCTGTAAAGATAGAAGAACATACCCTCAAAGCATTAATTAATATACTACATAAGTTATCTGATTGTTAAGATATTAATAATGAACTAGTATTACCATTCTCATCAGTTATAAAAATGCTTGAGATGACTGGAATTGTTAACAAAGTAAAGGAAAGCAAAGGTGATGATAAATTAATCCAAGATTTTGATGTTTATTTTTGATTTTTGTAATTAGATTTTTAAATAAATTTATTTATTTACAATACATTTTTATAACACAGTAGAACTCCTACTTTACAATTATCTGCTTCGAAGTCAACATGGAATGTGTTCTCTTCTGGCTTACTTTTTGGTTAAACAAAATTTAACCCTTTTTGCAGGAGATTAAGAGTTTGTTTATTATTTTTGAGGAGAATTTCCAGTGATGTTTAAACTTGAAAAACTAAGCCTACTTTAGAAACTTAATCTGCTTACAATATCCAACTAAGAGTTTTATAATGAAGGATTTTTCAAGATACTTTTTGGAGTAGAGACAGAACTCTAAGATCTACCTCTTACTCCATCTACCTCTAATAAAGATAATTAAGATGTTCGTTGTGAGTTTGCTTGTTATGAAATTCTTAGTTTCTAATTTTATTGGTTTGAAATTAATTTAATGGTTGTCTTTGCAATTTTTGATCTCTCCTTCCGAGTATCTTAATAATGGATTGAATTTTAGGATGGCATTTGCTAAGTGTTATTGTAAGATTACTCCAAATAGGAATTGTAGGTTTCATGTGATCTTTGTGAGAATTAGGACTACTTTTTGGAGGAGAATCTATTGTTTACAGCTGGTGATAAACCATCTTTTAATTTCGTTATATCAAAAGGTCCATGAGTATGGAGTTTTAGATTCTTTCTTAAGTCGACTGTGGTATTTTGGTTTTAACTATCTTTCATTTCACAGACAAAGTTAATTTTTGGAACTGTTTCCTTTCTTGAAAACAATGAGGATTAATCTCCATTAGAAACTACAGATAATTATTGAACAGGTTAAATTGGCTTTTTAAATGATAGTTATTCTTTTTTGTTTTTGTTATCGATTGAGTCTGTTCCTGATTCATGTTGTGGTTATTTTTAATGTTTCGCCAATCCATTTTTAAAACCAAAAGAATTATAAATTAGTTTATTCATTTTTTGCTCTAAATCTTAAAAATCAGGTTCATTCAATTAGCAATCTTGCAATCTAAAATCAATGTCTTCTTTGAAACATACGTTTAGGTTGTATACTGATACTGGACGATCACCTTCATCTTCAATAATATCTGAATCAATAATATATTATTCTGTCATTATTATAAATAATAACATAAAAATTGATAAAAATCTAACAACACAAAAGAGTTTATTGCTTTTACAATCCAATTAAAGCAATACAGTATGTGCTAAGAAATAAACTACAATACAATAAAGTAACTAGTAATATTTTATAATTTAAGAACTCTGTGTATGAATGTAATATGATTATTATATAAGAGTAAATTTATTAAAAATGTTTATTAGATGAAATTTAATATATTGAAAAATATTATAAATATTTACAAATCAATTCATTTAGTATGATTAAAATCTCAATAAAGTTTTGGTTATGGTACAGAGTTAATATTATCAAATTCTTTGAAGTTGAATATCGAATCGATAATCCCTTTATTTGAAACAGGGGAGCAAGCATTATTAGATGAGCTAATTTGAGTACTTGAACTATGAGTTAATGAGCTTTTTTGACTATCAGATAGACTGCCTTTGATTGATCCACTATGAAAATATAAAACTAAATATTTACTTCACTTCCAGAGTTTTTATTGCGATATTTTTATTTCTAAATTTGTTTTTGAGTTATTCATTCTCATACTTATTGAAGATATTATTCAACTTCATCTAATTTTTTATCCATCTACTTAGGTACAATTATTGAACTGTGGGCCTATCATTGGGATCCTTAGTCAACAATGCTTGTATTAGAATTTACAAATCCTCATCAATATGACTATTGACAATCACTTCTTGACTGGTAATTTTGGCAATTAGTTCAGACTAAGAATTGGCTTAAAATGGGTAATGAGTATGCAGTAAGATCTAGAAATGATATTTACTTCTATATATTACATATATCAAAGTTCCAAGCGAATAACAATCCACCTTATAATCATGTTACTTTTTCAGAACAACCTCAGGAGGCATATATTCGGTAGTTCCACAAAGAATGGGCTCCACTTTGTCGATATACGTGGCCCAACCAAAGTCGCCCAATTTATAGGTTCCATCATCATGAAGAAAAACATTTTCTAACTATATTTAGAAGATATAATTATTATATTACTTTCAAATCCCTGTGGATTATTTTATTTTAATGCAAACAATCCAGTGCACCCAACATTGAAATACAAATGTTGAAAACATCTTTCTCTTAATATGGAGTCTTTGGAATTTACAACGAACCACGAGAGCAGAATTCAGAAATGATATAAATATTTTTAGAGTCCTCAAACGAATGATAGACTTTGAGTATGTTTTTATGATTTAGTGTTGATTGAATTTGTATTTCTTGTCTAATCATTGATTCTGCATTGTATTTATATAACAATCCTTTTGAAATCTATACTTTAACTAAAATTTATTACTATTTTGCAGGCATATTACTTGTTTGTTTTGAGATCTAAGACCTGATATACTGTTCCAAATGAACCACTGCCTAATTGAGCCTATAAGGCATAAGTGGTTCCATTACTTGACATAATTGTGTTGTTCATTAAATAATTTATTTATTAAATCATTTAATAAAATTATTTCTTTTTCTTTTTAATAGAGAAATTAAGTAATAAATATTATTTCAAATCATTCTAAAGCTTATAAACTCACCCTTATAATTTAACAAGTCTCATTTCCTAAGATACATCATTTTTGGTTCCATAAATGATCTCATCAAACCATCGCTTAATTTAGCCAACTTCCTCATAGTGACTTAAAATTCAATTTTATCAAGTTCTAATAAATTAATAAGATGCCTTACACAATCATACATTGTTCTATTAATAATTTTTAAAGTTTACAATTCTTCACCTATAATGTTTTGATTTTTAATAACATTAAATTAGAATATCTTGATTATGCTAGAGTATCAATATTGCATGCTTGAAATATCAGCATTTAATTTACAATGTATTAAAACATATAAATTCCCATTTTAATACAATTTATATAAAATAGTCTCATTCCTTTAAGTAACTACCTGATATCTTTTCCCATAAAATTATCATCTAAACCCTGATTTTGAATGTACAATTCTTGGTTTTGAACATCCAAATGTATTTTTCTAAATAGTTCTTTTAAATTGCAATTGAATAACATAACATCTAACAAAGAGAAAATGATCCATTTAACTTAACTTTACTCAACTATAGTGAAAGGTGTTATTTTGTCATTTCTCATTGCCATTCATCATCTTTGAAATACTGACAAATAATTATCTTTTGTCAAAAAGAAAAAATCAAAAATATTTATTTTATCCATTCATTTTCTAAATTTATTTATCTTACTTTCATCTTTTGTATTCATAATTAATTGTAGAATTGTTTAAGATATATTTTAAATATACATAGTTTAAATAGTTATTAACTAAATTCATTTTTTAGTTTTTAATTGCTTCATCAATAGACACATTTATGTTTAGGAAGAGGGCTTACGATCTGATGCTTAAGGATTTGCATTCATATTGTTCTAGCGGAAATACTATTTCAACTTTTTTTAGTATTTCCTTGTTTTATACTACATGGCTTTCTTTAATTTGATTTTTTGAAGTTTTTTAATTACTTTTTTTCCATTTTTCTTGTTCTACTTTTATGTCCTCTTATCATTTCTAAAATATTGTGTTATAATGCTATCTACTAAAGCAAACTACTATTTTTTGCTCAAAAGAATTATAGTATAATTAATTCACATATTTAAATTCAATGAAAGTTTGTAATTGTTCAAATTTTTTAGACCTCTTTAAAGTCTATTGTAATAATCATACTTTCATAAAGGATTTATGATTCATCTTCAAATCTCCCTCTTTTACCAACCAAAAGGAATCTCTATATTTTTATTATTTTTATTACTATTTAGCACTTCTTCCAAATAGTAATAGAAATTTTTAATGTATAATATCAATACAATTAGCTTAATGTCTAGGAATAATTCAGTTAGTAATGATATTGCATAAAAATCAGTATTTAATTAGGTTCCAGAGTAAACATTCAGAAAGTTGAATTATATGTTCAGTGACTATGATTAACTTCTTGTATTATATTGAGAATCTCAAAGCAGATATTTTAATGGGAATTTTTTATTCATATTGTACCATTTTTGATATCTATTATAATTCTTGTCAATAAAAAATGATGATTTAGATTATTTTATATTCTATTTTTACATTATTCTAAGTATCTAAGTATCTAAAATAACAATTATTTTATGATTAATTTAAGGACTAATATAGAAGTTTGGTCATATTTTATGAATAGAGTGCTTGAGATTAATTTTTGAATCCTTATAATATTAATGTTAACATTTTATTGTAATTCAGAAATGTGCAGCATTGCTACTGTCACTTGTTAACTCTGCTCTAAGTTGTTTTAATCTGGCTTCCTTCTTTGCTAAAGCGAAATCAAACACTGAGAAGTTATATTTCTCAGCCAAGTCGGATATCACTTTACTTCTTTGAACAAAAAGTGGCTCAAATAATAATTAGGAAAGGTTATATGAAAATGCAGCTGAAACCAATCCTAAAGGCAATATATTATTATTTCAATTACCAACTCCCAAAACAAAGATTCCATTTAAGATTGGACGACTTGCGATTCTTGAAGTAATTAATTGTTATTCTCTTATTGTTGCTAATGCCAAGAAAATACCACCAAATGAGAATATTCCTGATCTCACATCTACATCTATGTACTTCTCTTTGATAAATTTCGAGTGATCTTCTTTTGTAATCTTTTCAGGTGTCTGACTTGCAATATAGTAAAATATCAATCTTCTCTTATCTTGGGGTCCAGCTGAATAATAATTGCTATTTCAATTACCAAGCATGATATTATCATGATTAATAAAATAGCCATTGGTAGTTTTGTGCAATTAAGGAGACACCAACCAACTCAAACTCATTTTTAGATATTTGATTGAATAAATATATAAATAACTAAATTTATTCAAATTTATTTAACTTTTTATTTCAATTAATTTGGACCAATGAAATACTATAAAATAACCATTTGATATCGAGGATCTTTCATTGATTCTAATTAATTTTATTCTTTATTCTAATACCTGAAGGTTAAGAATACTGCAATAATAGAAAAACATAACTATAATCTATATGCTATTATTATCTGGTAGAAATATAATAAAAAGAGACTGAAGATGAATGAATTATGAAGTAAAACAATTAAAGGATTGATTAGATATATTTCAAGGTGACAGTAATATGTAACTAATTCTAGTTTCAATTAATTGCGGTATCGAAAATTGATATAACTAATAAATTAGTAGCTTAATTAGAGAAATCGGATGACTAATATAAATTTATATTATGGGAATTACATTATGATTAAGTATGGGGGGAGGACTTCTGCTATATATCTCAAGGGGATTGCCAAAATGATGCAGATAGATGGAAGATGCGATTAATTAATTAATTAAGAGAAGATTTTTTATAAATATCATAAATTTGATGTATTAAAATATTTTTTCTTTTATTAATGATACTCAGTTTGAAAGATCATCTGAAGGGGAACGCTGGGGCTATTTTTTGCTGTTATACTATTTGTCTCTACGGGAAGACTCAGAGCTGGAGGAATGCTTTTTGTGGCCTAATTAGAAGTAAAGTAAGTGAGTTAGTTAAACTTTTAGATTTCTTTTTGTGTCTGTCAATGCTTCGACTTCGGGATCGTCTCTTATAGTTACTATCTCTCTTTCTGTACTTATCATTGCCTCCTCTACCTCTGTCTTTATCACGATCATTTGTAGTCCTAAATACTAATTAAATTAACTATTACCTCTTCCTTCCACTTGCATACTCAATCTTCATTGCTTACCCTTTCAACTCACGACCTTGTAAACTATTATAATGATATTTTTCACTCCTTTACCTATTAAAAGCGTCAATTGCTTTTTCTACCTTTTCAAATTCAACAAATGCGTATACATGAGGACCCTTGTCCAACACTTTAATCTCGGTGATTTAACCATACTGTTTGAACAGCTCCTCTAAATCATCCTTTTGAACCTATTGAATTTTAAATAGCCACATTACTTTGTAAGCAAGATTGCCAATCCATAACTTCTTTTTGGGCTCTGACATTAAGAAAAATGTAATTTATATTAATTTTTAATATTCTTCATTCAAAAAAAGGGCTTTAATACCTCAAGATTTTAATGACCTCCTTTTATAAATTAAATATATATATATTTGAAAATATTTAAAATATTGTACCTCCGATTTCTCAAGTCCTTCGTATTCATCGAGCTCACTGCCGGTTTCAATGTCCATTCCAGTCTTTTAATGCACACTGTATCCATGTTCCTAATATATAACAGAAATTTATGATAAATTAAAATGTAAATAAAATAAAGATTCATCATAATGTATTCAATATAATTATGTATGAATATTTATTATTACTAAAAATTTAAAGCCGAAGTCCACTTTTCAAAGTCATCAATTCCCCCTCAATTCGTGTAACTCCGTCACTCCGCTTAATTGCTACTCCCATCTATCTATTTAAAAAATTGTTACACACATTATTTTCGAATATTTGCTTGCATCTCAATTTCTAGTGATTCGCAATTTGGATGCTTGTATTATCTCTCTCTCTCATTAACACGAAAATGGAACCTATGCTGGAAATGAGGATTAAACAAATTAATATTATAATTTATGAGTTTACCATTTATAAATTAAGCTATTCAAACTATATAACAGTTTCCTATTACCCAACAAACAAATGAACTTAGATTAATTTATCAAACATGTTAATAATCATCAAAGTAGTTGGGAAAATTCAAGATCGACAATACATTTTGGAATCAAGACATCACTAAAGTAGAAATAGAAATCTCCAAAATATTACATGAATTTGGTTATCGGGTCAAACCGAATCCCATTCACTAATTTAACTTTGATACATTCCTATAGAAAAAGGCTCGTCTCAATATCACGACTGAGGATTACAGAGAAGCCTTGCTCCAGTTTTACGAAAACTTACAGGCAAATTTGTGGATTAGGAGAAAATACCTATTGAGACAAAGAATAGCCTTACTACACAATCCAACTGAAGACGTTCTATTTTACGATCCATTAGTTAAAGTTAAATCAGATGTTATTCCTATTGAGATGTATTCAACAGTGAATTTAGAGAGAATACATCCTGATGAAAATAAGACTCTCGTTGACGAAGAAATAAAAATGATTGATGAAAAGCTAGTTGAGTATGCAGAAATAAGTGAAAAACTATCAAATGAACGAATTTTTGATCCTTCAAGATTTGACTAAGACATTCCCTAAATACAGATATCAACTGATGACGATCTCATCTTTGAGAGAATGAACAATAAGATATATTAGAGCATGCCATTCATCACCTAAAAACATCTAAAAGAGTATTACAATTTCAGATAAAATCTCATGGTCAACAAACTGGATGATTTGGACACTCAAATATTCATTGAGAGTTTGGAATCTACTACTCAGGAGAGAGCTAGTACTGAATATTGCAATATGTATTTGATACCTGTGACAATGCCTTAATTATAGTAGGAATTGCAACAATTAGCATTCATGTAGGGAGTAGATCAAGACATCACTGTTGACAACGGAGCATTGTTTCTGTTTGCTATTGATAAGCACTTCATCTAAAAGATTCAGGATCAAAGCAACAAATATCTGCTTTTCCTTCCCTACAATTTGGATTAGTCTGAATAAAAAACAAAAAGCTTTTAGCAGCAAACCATGAACATACTAAATGAATTAAAAGAGGACAAGATAAGGAAGAACCAATATAGGATCAGGAGTAGTGCCCATTGGTTAGACAATATTCAAATTATTCAAGAGAAGGAAGAGACTGAGATGAATTTGATATTTAACTAATATGAAGACAGTGCCATAAATTCTTGGATGAAGTTCTTGTTATATCATGAATCTGATAAAATTTAGGATAAAATCAATAAGGATGTGTCCTTAGTTCAAGAGAAGGTGTAATCTACTCATTTTCCAGAGATCTACTTTTAATTTTTCCTCAGATATTAGAAGTTACTGTATTTGGAATCAAGAGAGTTTCTAATATAAATTATGCATTGCTATAATGTAATGAGAACAATGTAGAAGAACTTAAACATATACTTCATTGATTTGCACCAATTGTCTAGTCAGTTGACGAAGGAGAGAATATAGAAGAAATAATAAAACACTATGAATGCTTTTATAACAAGTTTAGATTCCAAGGATACGATACCTTAGGAGGACACGTCCGCATATTTTTGTGAAGAGAAGATTCAGAGAAATCACAATCTCTATGAAGTGGTGGATGGAAATGGTCACAAAATCATTCACGAGATCGTGTTTAAGGATGTAGCTCAATTATTGGATAAGATAAGTCATATAAGTGCATTTACATTATAGTTTACGAATAAAATTGGGGAGAAGAGTAGTCATTCAGATTCTCAATAAGTAAATAGATTTTTGGCAGTCAAAGATTTGCTATAGGCTGAATTAGATTATAACAATGCAAAATGTAAAATATTGCAAATTGTGTTTCCTCTGTTATCGAAAGCGAGAGTGTCAGAATTGGCTAATGCTGTCAGTATTCTAGCACGATTGATCCAGCAATAGCCTTAATTCAGATATGACTAAAATGTGCTGATTCATTATTCCGAAGCCACTAAGAGATTGAATCTATTGAGTGACATATTCACTAATACGAAATCGTTGAAACTCATTTTGAAATTGTTCTCTATTAGAGACATCAACATTTTGGAATAAACTTTGAAATACATCAAAAGAGATAGATTGATTGATAAGGAGTTCCCATACAAATCATTTTACAAGGATTCAATTTTGGATTCGCAAAACAATCTGTCTTAAATTCTGAAACAACTACCAGAGGATGGCAATTTTAATATTTTTTCACTTTTAGAATTTCTGTTATTGAGGAGGAGATTTTATAAGTTATCCTTGAGAATTTATTACCTCAGCAATCTTTATGGATAGTAGATCAAGGAGAGAGGCTTAACCAATAAGATGATATAAAAATTAGAAGTAATTCCAAATAGGGTCATCGATGATAAAAACTTCGATATCTTCTCTATCGTAATGGATGAATACCTAAAGATTGGGAAAGAATGCCAATAAATCGAATTATGGACAACCTTCGCTGCCGATAACTATAAAATGATTGATATGCTCATGCCTCTCAAATCCTTATTGCTTCTGGACTTCTATCTATTTAATGCGATCAGAATCAACAGGAAACAAACACATCACTTCGTGGACATTATTGGATTAAAAGAGAAGTTAGCATTGCAAGCTTAAACAATTCAGAGGAAAGCCAACATTATGCAGAGCAGTACAACTGCATCTGACTAAAATAATCAAGACAAATTAAAATAGACAGCCATCAGTATGATCTCAACTCAGTTTAGAGGTTCATTATTAGTTAAAAACTTTGTCAATAAAATACAACAGAATCAGTCAACTGCCTTATAGGAATTCAACAAATTATTGACGTAACAATGTCAATCATTAGTCTTCACATTGCAAGCCTTAGTACAAAGAGAACAAATGATTCAATTAAATTAGCAATTGCCATTTGTAAAGCCTCTTTTTACAGAAGAGCCATTCTTAAATGAAATGCATTAGATCTAAAACCCTTTCATTATCCACAGCATCCCTTCGATTATGAACATCATTAACTTTAAAGATTTTGACTACAAACCTTCAAATCCTGAAGTGGACAATTTGGGAGATGAAGATTGGGTAACAACTACTCGATTGAAACTAGAGAAAAATGTTAGTCCTTTGTCTGCAAATAGAAAGCAACCCAAATTCAAAAGTTCTGGCAATCCCTTTTCCAACAATACTAAATTCCAAGAGCCTATTTCCGGGTCCTAGCAATTGGCATTGTAATTGGTCCAGCTCTTGATTGGAGTGCAATCCTGCAATTGTAACGTTTAAGATCTTATCTATTTACATCAAGGGATGTTGGGAATGGAAGAACTCAAACGAAATCAATTGAGATTGAGAAGAGACTTGGAAAGTGTGTATTAGTAGGTTTAGAAGTACAAGGACAATATTACAAAAATACTGTCAAGTGGAAATATTTAGAATATGAATCTAACTATTATGACGTACTTGGAGAAGTTGATCAAGCGATTCCACTTACTGATTACGATTACAATGATATCTTCTGTGCATCAATTCAGGAAATAGATCCAAGATAATAGCGAAATCTACCCATAAATAATTTCTACTTTAAGAAATGCATTGATCACTGGTTGTTTTAGAAACATGAGTCATGTTGAAAGATTGATGGATTAAGCACCTAAAGTGTATCCGTCAATCTAAACAAAAAAGATTATTAGTGATAAAATGATGTTACTCAAATACGCATTTGGATCTCAATTTGTATAGGCTCATTAAACCAATCCCAACAATGTTCATATGCCCCTATAGGAGTTCCATTTTGAAGATTTTTACACACAATTATCGCCTCATATGATTCCCTCTTCGCAGATTTTATTCAGAACCTAGAAAATCAATTATAACATTGAGTTTTTCTTATCGTCTGTAATTGATCTATTTCCTAAAGCAATGGCCAACCTGTTTACGCTGTTTCCTCAATCGAAATTGATATATTACTCAACGATATAGGATTTGATCATATCAGAATCAGAATCAATTTTGCGAGATAAATGCATTTTTGAAGTTGATGATTTATTTAAATATGAGAGAGCATATAGAAAACTCTTGGTGCTATAATTTCGCTATTTGGTTTTGTCAGAATTCTTTACAGTACAGAAACGATAGATCCTGCCTTTCTCATCAGATACTAGTGATCCCTGTACGTAATGGCTTGAGAATTGCGTGGAGTTGTGCGATAAGAATACGCATAAACAATAGTTGAAGGCGGGACTCTTGTTGAGTGCTCTTCCAGGGGTTAACAAATAAGTTAATGAATTTAAAAAGGGGTCAAAGACGACTAGAATGAATTATGAGCCATCGTAGGAGAAGTTTTCGATTTTACCGAGATTGAGATTGGAGAGTTTTGAAAACCAAGTGTTTCAGTTGATTTCAATGATGATTGGATGTCAGGCTATTTTCCAAGAGGAAGGCAAACAGTATTATCAACAGTTGAACAATTAACTAAATAAGATGGATTAGCCTTATTAGGTGGCTAAGCAATTAAATGTGTTCTACAGTAACTTAGAAAGGGACTCCTTGAAGATAATGACATTGAATAAGGGTTACGCACATGTGATAGCTGACAGCGATTTAGATAAGCATTTGAATGATTTTAATAGAAGAATGCTGGATTTCAACAAGGCAAATTATCCAAATCATGTGATCATTGAAAATGAATCATTGCAACGAATGTACAATTAAAAGTCAATTGAACTGAGATTTGCGATGAAGAAGATTAAGTTTTACGAGTCCAATATCAATCACATCGTAGAGAGTTTGGTTGCTTAGAGGACAAATGACTTAATCTTTGAGAATGACGCATTGAAATAACAGATAGAATAGATGATGAAGAGTTTTGACATTGAGAAGTAGAAACAAAGAGACAAGATTAAGGAGGAATTCTCTGAATAAATACGTACTCAAGAAGTGCTTATACAGCAAATGTAAAATCGATTTTAAGATTATAAGAGAGGAATTTCAATGGAGATGACAAATTTCATTTAGGAATATAAAACAGATGGACTGAAGAGAGTTCGGGACAAAGCATCAGAGGCATTATTTGGTTAGGTTAACAAATTGAATATTGATTTGGATGTCGAGTACTAAAGAGTAGGAGTTTATGATAAATTTAAGGAGGACAGTGAGTAAGTGAATTCATTATTCTCATCTTTGAAGAAATTGAGGACATTCTATTTGTGGAAGGAGATGTGCATAAGGGAGAGATTCGAAAAGCAAATTTAAATAATAGTGGCAGCCAATTCAAGCAATGAGGAGTTGTAATAAAAGATTCAGTAATTGACAGAGAATGTAGAGATTTTGAAGGATGAATTAATACAAAATAGGAAGATCATCACAATTATGGATAATTAGAATTAGATTCTGAGGAGGGATCTTTAGAAATTGAAGATTGAAAGGTTTTAGGCTATGAGAGAGAAAGGTTAATTGGGAGCAATAGCCACCTATTAGGATTAGGAGCAATAATTGGAGGAGTAGCGGAAATAAGTGATTGAAGCGAAGAAGGAGTAGCAATTCAAGAATTCTAGACCAATCACTGCTTCATCCATAACGAGATCAATAAAATCGGCATAGAAAGTGCAGAAGTTGTCAACGACTCAGAGTGTACCTAAGTTGGGAACATCTTAGATGATGTCGAATTAGAAGGGAACATTAACAATGAAATATAAAATTACATCTTGATTTTTTATTTATTTTTATATTTTTAAGTGTTTTATGTTGAGATTAGCCACTTAGGCAATTAAGAGTATGGTGCAAATAATGCCAGTTATTAGACCCATTCAATTTTGTTAGAAACCTATGCAATTCTTTGGATTGGCAAGATTATTCAAATAAACTCGTATAAGTGGGTAGGCGAGATCAAAAACAAAATCCTCGTCTTCAAGTTGGAAAAAGAGAATCAGGAGTCAAAACAGATTGTATAAGATTGGGAATCACAAGGGATTGATGAAGAGGGTCAAAATTGTGGGTCCAAGGAGAGCTAGAAGGCTTAAGTTCAAGTCTCCTGGGTCAAGGCATCTTAATCGAAATTGTTCAAAAGCCAATTTGAGGAGAAAACGACGAACCAGATATATAAGCGATGTTGATATGCCAAGAATGAGAAAGTTGCTGCCATTAATGAAGAGGTAGAAATGCAAAAGAGGATCGTGAGTATATAAAAGAGAAGAGAAAACACAAATATTTTATTTCAAATATATTATTTAAATAATATGATCAGAGGATTAAGATTGTTGTAGATGAGACCAATCTTTTACTTTGCTGCTGATAAGACTCCAGCAACAACTTAAGGCAAACAATAATAAGCAAAGCCAATTCAAGTCTATAAAGATGGATAATTGATAACTAAAAATTATCTCCAATTGAAAAAGTCATAAGATATTGAAGGATATGTTCTCACCTTGGTCAAGAATTATTACAGAACAACCAACAAGGTAATTAATCCTCATAATAATCAGTCAGCTTTAACATTAGATTCTGAATTAGAATAACACGGATTGGATAGTTTGGATTCTATTGAATTGTCTATGCAAGTAAATACCCAACGATTAATTAGATTGAAGAAGACTTGGGATACGTCATCTCAGCTGAAACCTTACCAGTCTTGAATAAGGTTAGACATTATGCTAATTACATTAAATAAGTTGAGCAATATAAAGTGGAAAACAACGCTGCTCCATTGGCATGATTAATATCATATGCATATTCAGTATTAATACCAAAATAATAATTTTCGCTTATTAATTAGAGTGCCTTTCTATTAAATGATAGACTGAAGTCATAGAGATTTTTACAAGCCATTCTATTTCTGAAATCTCATTGTAAATTAATGTAAAAATTTCAATTAATATTGGAATTAAATTGAACAGTAAATTTCAATTATCAATTTCATTCTTAAAACAATTCCATCTGCTAATCAAAGAAATAAAGTAAGCTGTCTAAAATTTCAACTAACATCTCTTTAATATATATAAAAATTACTAAAACATCTTTTAAATTACAGAATAAATTTTAATATTAAACATGAGGTGTATACAAATAAAAAAATAATATAGTCATCACCATGCAAATTCATTTTCACTTAATCTATTCTTTGTATTTTTATGAATTACTATACAAACATACATATCAGCTCTGATGAATTTCTAATTTTTTGATAATAATAAAAAGGAAAAATGAATAGTTATATATAGTAATGATACTTTCAATAGGGAAGAGGCTTAAGACTCAGGAAAAGTTTAATTCTTTCTAGAAAACTTTACAAATATTCATTACAAATAAGACTTTTTATATAAATTTTTTTTACAAAGAATGAAATCAGAATAGGTAAGACTTTCTATTTTGATTACAAGTTATTTTCTCTTATTACACTTTTAATTTATATTTCAAATGGAGCATTTGCATAAATAAGTAGAAGAACAATTAAGTTTAAGTTTGATGTTGAATATTTCTTATTCTTAATTAAAAGTTTTTTTTATAAAATCCCAATTAATATTTATGACGTCAGAAAAGGCGTAGTAGCAATATTATTAGCGTTAATTGATCTTAGTAGCTTTATTGTTCCAACTATAATTCGTTTTGAATTTTAGGAACCAAATAACAAATCTCGAAAAAGAAATTGAAACTCAATATATTCTATATGTTCGTATATAACAGTAAAAATTTTTAATTTAAAGTTCCTAATCTATATCTATTTTATAAATTAATTTATTTAATGAACTAAAAGATTACATCATCGTTGATAGTATTCTCACTTTGCCTCTTAGCTTTAAACGCCAAGACAACAGGATGCTGTAATTCATTTTCTTATAGTCGTAGCTTCAAAAGTGGAGTAATTATAATTGTTTCCCACAAAGGGAGAAAAATTGCAAATTAATCTTCATGATTATCTATTTGAGGGTGAAGACCTCACTTACGAATTATAAGACACATATTTTAAGATCGTTAATCCAGTTGCAAATACTGGATAGAGTTCTAGTCACACATCAAGTATTTTCACATGTAATTGATTTAGCTGCCTCCAATATCAGGGCAGCAAAGCCATACCACACGAAGAAAATGCAATCATGGTTGAATTCATTTGTATTCCTCGATCAAAGTGAGACGGAGGTGTCCATTTTCTTTTCTGAAGGGTAATCATCTATGTAGATGTTAGAACTGCTTTGAATAAAATTCCAACTCCAGAATTCAAAACCAAGGTTAAGATTGCAACTGTGGCTGACAGTCTACAGTGCTACGATGTAGAATACATAGACAATGACAAATTTATAGTGGATTGTTAAAAAGAAGTGACTGAGAAATAAATAAAAAAATAAATTGATGTATTCTATATTTACTCAAAATCAACAAAAAAAGTAACATCGTTTGATGATGCAGCAGCTGTTAAAATTTTCAATTAAAGACGCATAGGATTATACTACTCAACAAGTGCATTAGGAAAAGAAACTACTTTTATTGTTAGAGTAACACCTACATATTCTTTGGACCCAGCATAATAACTTTCTGGAAACTCAATTGTGTAGGTCTATGCATTGAATGATAATTATTAACCTGTGGCCAGAAACTATCTTTTGGATAATGTTACTATGGCATTTTTGTTGGGAAGATCTGAAATGGAATTGACTATTGTTGATTTCGAAATCTCATATAATGGATTGATTTTCCTTTAGGATGCATAAAATGGTCTCTTTGTGGTCAGATTCTAGCCAACTGGAGCTTGGGAATTAGTTGCCAAAGCTGACTTCGAATTAGGAAGAGTGTATTCCTTCGATATTGATTATGAACATAAAAAGGATGGATCTGAATTAGGTGTGATTGCCATCCTTGGATATAACTCCTTTGTTGTTTTGGATGCAGAAAAATCCTATGTTCACAAACTTCCATACTTCCAATTAGATTATCCAGCCACCATTAAAATATCATAGGATAATATTATTGTTAGAAATGATAAAGTGACTTATTTCTATAAACTTGATGTGGATAATGATAAAATCTACTTAAATTAAAAAGTTGAAATCCCTGCCAATGATATCTTATTAGTGAACCCATAAGAACCAGATTTAATCCAAATCAGCACCAGAAACTCTTATAGACATACTATTTCTAATGGATATTTGTCTTATACTGGAAGCGATAAGGTCCAATAGAAGAAGGCTGTGGCCATCAAAGCCAAATCTCCAAGCAAAGACGAATGCACTGTTATCCTTACATATTAAATTATTGAGGATAATGAAAATTGGATTTATCAATTGTTTGATTAACCAGTCCCTTTTCCAAAGACAATTGCAGAAGGTGAAACTCACTCTATTTTGTAAAAATTAGCATCAGGACCAAACCTTCAATATAAATTACTTAAACCTACACAATCAGGAGATGTAGAGGTTGCAAGCACCATTAGATCAAGAGTTGAATTAAGCTTAAATCGTGAATAACCATAAAATGTGATCTATGCAGAAATAATATCAACTGAAGATGACACAGTCTTCTATTAAGCTTTGTAAACTTAAAATTTGAAAGTTTAAATCTTAAGTTGCCATCATAATTCCATTTATGTTGATGCCACAACATGTGAAGTCTATGTTGCTGATTTGGGAATTACAACTAAAGTAAGCAAACAAAACTTTTCAATTTGGGCTAAACATGGAGTATTATATTTCATGTACGTTGATGCACAATACAATGTTGTAATTAGATCAATACATGATGGCGTGGTTACTCCAGTAAAAACAATACAATTAGATTCTACAGTCACCGCAAATAAGATTTAAAATATCTTGAATTCTGGAGAATACCTTTTAGTCCATACAGCTAATAATGACATCCACACATTCTTGATTTACAGACCCGAGCTTTAAGCACTCTCCACATTAAACAAAAATTCATTCACCTAATATGGCTACAATGAAGATTGGGAACCAAAAGCACTGTTCACTAACAAAAAGTTACATCCAAATATACTCTTTATTCAACACAAAAATCATATTTTGATCCTAGACACAGATTTTGGCTATTTTTACTTCATAAAAACCATACAAATTACTCCTAATTTAGATTATTCAATTGCTATAGGAAAAGAAACATTCTTCATCGTCCAAGGTAAATCGGCTGACACTGCCAAAGATGCCTAAATCTATGAATATAACTTTGCAGATATCAATAATGTCTATTTGTAAAAGTAATTGTACTTGTATTGGTATGATATTTCTGCTCCTTTAAATGTTGACTTTAGTGAAGAAACAGGCCATTTGTTTATCAGAGGTGTTTGCCTCTATTGCAGCAAATCCTTTGTCTTAGTATTTAAGCCTAATGCTCCTCAACATGAGGCCTTAGTCCAAGCTTGGGATATTGCTACTACTCTTATTCCTGATTCAAAACAAATCTTAATTGCAGCCAATGGAATTAACTAAACCTATTTATACTTAAATGTTGAAGGAGAATAATCTCTCTTTGCAGTTTATGATTAAGCAACAATTATTACTAATTCCATAATTCAATAAGAGAATTATTAAGAAACATATTCATTAAACTTTTAGATCAGAAACTATAACTTTTAAGATAAACCAGAGAAATTTAATACAGTCGAAATCAATCAATAGGTTACAACTATTTCTTCATTGACCAAAATTAAATTAAACCAAAATGAATTCCCTCTTTCAAAAACAGGTGCTTAGATCTACTCAACTGAGGAGACTAAAACCTTTGATTTAGGTCAAAAATGGTATTCTGGGTAGATTGGAAACTTTGAAATTGATTGTGATTAATGTAATACCCATCTTCAACTGTAGAATCCTCTGTCTCAACTCGACAGCAAAATCTTCAATGGATATGAAATTAGAGATCGCGTTCAATATAATGAAAACTACAATATCCTGTAAGCTACAACAGGATTGATATTCGTAAACCCTGACAACATTTTAGCAGCAGTCTATGATTTCGATTTACCCAATAAACAATATTAATGCTATTAAGCTGCTGTTTCTGAAGATAAAATGATTATCTACTCCTTGTGTCATGATGGAAATGAATTCACAATATACGCTACTGGTTGCTTTTCTATCACAGGTTGTTCTCCATTGGGAGAGAAATTCAAGCTTGGAACAGCTTCAAAAATTCAAGTCATTTCCAATCAATTGTTAGTTGTTTTGCATACAGATACAAGCAACCCAGAACTTTATTAGGATGGAAAGATAGTCCTCTATAAAATAGTTATGGGAGTATAAAAATGGAGATTGGAAATCATCGAAGTCATTGATTTAAACTATCTTAACTCAAAATTAACAACACATTTAAAAGATTTCAGACCAACTGATTTTTCAGTCGTCAGATAAATATACTAAAAAGAAAATAAGTACTCTTATAAATTGTTTATCAGTGATTCAGAGAGTGGATTTGTATTTTTAGATTTCTCATTTTCAGGTCTACTTGATTATGTATTCCTGTCAGTTGAAACACTTAATCTTCATGATTAATTAAATAAGCAAGCTGGCCAATACACCCTTCCTACTACTAAATTCTTATCATTCCAATTCATTTGGAAACCCACTTTTGAATGGAGTTCAAATTAAATGAAAGCTTACCTCATTATATTGACTACAGATGCTTCATAATATGGTTTCAAATTAGAATTTACTGGTCAACCCGATTAAAATACACTTCTTACGGCCAAATCCTTGTCTGCTGTCATTGTAAGATATGGAGATTGGGTCCCAATGAACAAACTAGCCATC